AAACATTTTATGACTCTATAAGGTATTTTCTGCTTCATGTATTTCATTCTGAATTACTGTATTTCCGTGGTGTTTCTGCATTTGATTTACTATCCACCTGCTTATAGTTGCATAACTAACTTGCAAATGATCTTGAGTGCTTTCCCTACCACAGTTCTTCCTTATATGTAATAGACATTCAGGATTTGTTGGATTGAATTGCTATTCTGTCATCCTTGTTGTGCATGTTCTGCATTTTGTTTAATTTTGTGGAACTGGGGAGAGAACCTAGGACCTTATGCATGCCAGGCAAATGCTCTACCACTGAGATAAGTCTCCAGTCATTTTTTAAAATTTGAGTTTGAGATGAGATCTCACTGAGTGGCCCCGGCTGCTGTCCTGCACCAGCCTCCTGAGTAGCTGAACTTACAGGCATGTGCCATCTGTGAATTCTGTTCTTTGAAAAAGCCTCACATGCTTCATCGTGATCATTGTGACCTCATGTTGTATTTTTGCCTTTCAGCTGTCACTTTAATATATAAAGTGTGACTTTCCTAAAAAGTTATTTTCTGGGTACCATGCTAAGAAAGGAGGACCTGTGTTAAGAAAGGCTTCTCAGAGGAGCTGACATTTGACCTGAGCCCAAAGCATGGTGAGCACAGGCCCCAAAGCAGTGGGGAAGTGAGTTAGGCACAGAGCAGTATGGCAAGAGATCTGCATTGATGTAAGGCACCCTGAAGAGGTAGGTTATTACTACACAACCCTGGAGACATGGCAGGTGGAGCAAGAGCAGAATGCAGTGTTTTTAGGCTGTGTTTCTGTAGGTCAGGATAATTTGTCTTTTTGCTTAGTCAGATTACTGTGTCATATAATGAGTTAAAGTCTAATTGATGAGAAAATTATTCTTATTTCAGAAAATACTCATCAAAGGATTTCTCAGTGAAGGAAAAAAACTAACCACAACACTAGAATTTAAATCACATGAAAATGAATTAACTGAATCTTACATATTACATAATTCTGGAAAATAAGGGTCTTCCTCTAATTCTTAAATGTATTTAGCATATATATATATTATATATATTTATTGTTAATATTGGATAGTAAAAACAAAAATGTAACCAAAATTTGGTCTTCCCATTGTTATATTCCTCAACCAGTTATTCAAGTATGTTTTTAACACATATTGGAATGTTATTTGACAGTATTGCTTGAGAAAGTTTATTTCCTTTAACTCGACAGCCACTTTTTAAAAAAATTTTATTTAAAGGTGAAAACAAAACAGTATAAGGGTACAAGTAATACAGAATTTCAAAAAAAATAGTAAGAAGTCACTAGTTAATAGATTACATATTGTCATCTTACAAATGTTTGTTCAAGTTACAGGATTAAAGCATACAAAGTAGACATTCAAACAGTGAGACTGCAAACAGTTGTGTTTAGTGATTGAACAAAAACTTAGTAATATGGTTATCTATCCTAACACACCTAAACACACTTGCAGTTGTATCTTTTAGAGCACTTTTTTCCTCTCTTTTTTACAACAACCTTTACACATTTTGGGTTTTATTACTTGCATAGTTCTTATTACTTTGTTTTTTGAAGAGAATAAAACCAAATATGACAACACAAAGCAGTCAGTCAAAACAAAGGATGGACACAGTACATGATGTAAAAACAGAATACAAGGTAATCAACAATGGTTACCATAATGCTTCTTGCTACCTTAAAAAGAATTGCCTATATCATTAGGTATAATAAAATTGAACAAAACAGTACAGAACAAGACCAATAAAACCTAAACATTGGAGACATTACAGGACTTCAAAAGAAGATAATAGCCAAACCAGAATGGGCATCATAGTGAATCTTACTGCCTTCAAAGTAGTTGCCTGTACCCTCAAATTTGATACTATCAGACAGAACAGAGCAGAATAAAATCAGTCAAAACAAGATGGTGGGAGCAATACAGGCCTTCAAATCAAGTTAATAGGAAATCAAAAAAGGTTACTATAATACATCCTGCTAATTTTTTTGATTTTTTTTCCCTTAATTAAAAAAATAATAAATAATTTTTTTTTTTAAAGGAAAGATTGAGATAAAAGAGGACATAACAGCATAACAATACAGGTCAAAGTATAACAATTTCAGCAACCTAGTGCTCACCACAAGATAACCCGACTTAAAAGTGGTTACCATAGTGTCTCTTTCCTTGAAATATTTGAGTATAACTTCGTATACTATGGCACCAAACATAATCAAGGCAGTGTGAAACCATTCAAGAGGTTTCACATTCATTCAAGAGAAAGTGTTACAAGGTATTTAGAACCAGCTAACGGAAAACGAACAATGGTTTCTGTATTACTTCTTTGCCTATAAAAATTTTTGTTTATACTATCACATATAATAAAATCCAGTAAGATACAACATGATTAAAACCAATGAAGGCAAAAGAACAACAGTTTGATGGGACTTCAAAACAAGATGATATTAAATCAGCACTAGCTATTATGTCTTGTTTTCTTCAAAATAGCTGTTCGTATCACCACAGGCAATATTATCAAACAGCCCAGAAAAAAACCATTCCAATTAATGAGTGAAAACTTTATAAGGCTTCAAAGCCATGTAATGGGGAATCATGATTATCACATACTTTTATATATTTGAATCATTTCTTACAATAGGGAAACTATTTGGTATTCATACATGTGAGTTTGATTTATTTCACTTACGAGTATGGTCTCAAGCTGAGTCCATTTATTTATAAATATCTCAATGTGATCCTTTATAGCTGAGTAGTACTCGATTGTATAAAAATACCACAACTTTTTTTATCCACTCCTCAGTTGATGGGCACTTAGGTTGTTTCCAAGATCTGGCAATTACAAATTGTGCTGCTATAAACACGGGTGCACATATATCACTGTGGTATGATGCTTTCAGTTCTTCTGGGAATATGCCTAAAAGTGGAATAGCTGGAACAAATGGGACTTCCAATGCCAGCTTTTTGAGAAATCTCCAGACTGACTCCACAATGGTTGCACCAGTGTACACTCCCACCAACAGTGCAGGAGAGTTCCTTTTTCCCCACAGCCTTTCCATCATTTGTTGTTGATGGTTTTCATGATCTTGGCCATTCTTTCAGGAGTGAGATGGAATTTCAGTGTGTCGACAGCCACTTTTAACCTTTCACAAACTTGGCCGTGTGTGTGTGTGTGTGTGTGTGTGTGTGTGTGTGTGTATAAAATACAGCACAGCACTTTTTTTTCAGTCTTCACTGCTCATTCAACCTCATCCTTCGTGCTGTTTAAAGGTTAAAAGCATGATTTTGTTTACTTATTTGCAGAAGGATTTCTGTGTTGTGCAGAAGTGCCTAGATCAGTGATGGCAAACCTTTTAGAGCTTTTAGTTATATTACAAAGAGCCAGCTGTTGCGTGGGTGGTCATCACCGCCACTGGCGAAGACTTTTGGAGTTAGGCTACTGAGACAGAATCCTGGCTTAGATACTCACTAAGCTTGTAACAGTCGGAAGATGCTCACCTCTTGCCTTGAAAGTGCTTCAGTGTAAAATGGGCATGAAAATACGTATTTCATAAATTTATCCTGAAGTTTAAGCACATTAAGACATGTAGAGCTCTTACAGTGACATCCAACAGATAGGTGCTGCCCTGTGTGCATTTGTTATTTTCATTACATTTGTTCTATTTAAGCTTTCTTTTTATTGGTCTTCAAAACCATTTTCGAGATTTCTATTCACTGTGTGTGATTTTTTTTTTAAAATCCCTCAAAGACTAATGGTTTCTTATAGTTATGTTCACAATTTTCCTGCTTGAAAGGTACAAACATTTAGGATCTTTTTGCATCTCCTCACTGGTAAGTACATGTTAAAAATACAGACATATTTCTTGATGGTGACTTTCTACAGAGTGCGTGTGTATTTCTAGATGGTGACTTTCTACAGAGTGAGTGTGCTTGGGTTGGAATCTATTTCTTCTTTCTTGGTGTACTAATGAACCTTAGGGATAATCTCAGGTTATTTCCACTTCTTGGGTTTCAGGTTGTGAATTTCCTTTGTGATTTTGCGTTTTTAACTGACTACAAACTTTTGTGTAAGCACCATCCATCTTTCTAATTGAAAGTGTGCCTAGTTGGAAATCCTAAATCCAAAAATAAAACTGATTGAAAATACTAAGAGCACAATTTATTTCCACTTAACTATTGCTGCAGCATTCACAAATATATTCCTTAGTATATTTGTATGTTTTGTAGTAAGAACAAGCAAATAAAGAAACTTGTCAAAAATGTATTTTGGAATTAATGGGTCAGTCATTTAACTGATGCATTTCCTGGTTTACTTTTTACACCTTTTCCTGACTCCTGAGGTTTGCAAATAGAAGTTCTCAATTATTTTTATCTTTAGGAGCCTTCTGGGTAAAGAAGGCTCTTTGGGAAATGTGGAGCTGTGTCATCATACTGCATTCATCCCCTCTGAGCCTCTTATCTCATTTCTTTCTAATGTAGCTGTACCACTATTACCAGAGACATTTGGGAAGAGATTTGATAAACGAGAAAGTTCTGATATTTTGTTTGGCACTAAGTTGTCCAGGCTGGTCTGAAACATTGAATCATCTTGCTTCAGGCTCCTGAATAGTTGGGGCTATAGGCCTGTGCCACCTCGCCTGGCTAGCCCCTCACTCCTTTTTTAAACGAAGTCCAGCTTTCATGGTTTCTCCTTAGGTACCTTCAGAGTTTTTGATCTGGTTCTTCTCTGCTGTTGAGCATTTTTTCCCCTTGACTTAGAATACCCTACTTCTATTAATCTTCTCTGAATAGCTTTTCCTGGTTCCCTTAGAGAATTAGCATCTCTTATCTCCCTTCTCTAACAGTTCTGTGTGATGTGTTGAAAATGTTTGTTGAGAATATACTTTTTGTAAGATATCAAATGAAGGGTAGTATTAAACTGGAGAAGTTGTAGGGAAATTAATGAAATTTTTATGTGTTTTTTACTTTTATTTTCTAGTGTTCTTTTGAAGATGACAATGTCCGTTCCTTGTTAAAGCCTTTAGAACTGCAGCTACAAAAGACAGTGCATACATACTGTGGAAAAATTTACAAAATATTTATCAAGCAACTAACAAAAAGCGTAAGAGACCTTTATGACAGACCACCAAAGCAGAGATGACTTTTGTGACTGCTGAAGTCAATGGGTGAAAACAACAAAATATCTGAGGATATGTATGAAGGAATGGTCTTCCATGAAGTACTTGGGAAGGAAATACTTATGACCAGAAAAATTTTTTCCCAAAGAAGTTATAAAAGCAAAATATTCATATGATGGACAAGTTAAAATTCTGGATTCCAACAAGAAGATATTTTTGATCTCTGATGTTTTGTAACATGTTACTTGTTATCATTCCATGATTGCTAAACTGTAACTGAATTTTTGTAGACTAGAGCTCTCTTGGTTTTACTCAGAAGTAAGGTGGTAGAGTTGTGTGGGTGCAAGAGGTGTACCTCTTACACAGTCTCCACTGTGAGTGCAAACTGTGAGTATAGCAATAATTTATGTCAGCACTAACCTCACTTTATACACATAAGAAAAAAGTTGTTTACAGGAGCAGAAAAGGTTCTGTTTCTCAACAAATGTGATGTGACCAATGTAACCCTTGACAATCTATATGTACTGTTAGGCATTTCATCTCTGTTCTACAATGTTTTTGTGACAATCATGTTAAAAATTATCTTTAGCCTATGAGCTGCACGTTAAAAACTGAGTTGTAGAAGAAAGTAAAAATAGTGAAAATGTTGAGGTTTTTGTGTGTGTGGTGCATGCGTGCTTATATGTGTGTGTGGAGGGAGTAAGAGATAAAGAGAATGTACTGTTTTCATTTTGTGTGCATTAAACTGTTTTGCCAAACCTCAGTTATAAGATATTTAGAATTTTTTTTTATCACTTTATGTGAAAGTTGTCAGCTTTCCTGGGCATTCTGGAAGCAGGATATATTATAGTGACAATAAAGTTTGAGAACCTTAATAATAATGCTAATGTGATGGTGGAAAGTACAGTGGACCAAAATGTATAAGCAGTATTCTTACTGAGATCAGTAATTATATTACAATGCAATAGGGGAAAATGGTCCATTTAAACTATTCTACCTCAAAATAACTTTGCAGGATATTTTTCTAAGAAGCAAATTTATAGATTAAGTTGAACAATTTTGATGGGTGGTTTAGATTAATTAGATTATTCTGTCCACAGAAAAGTAATTTTGATTGGGTTAATGTTCATATCTTCCTTTTTTGAACATTGCTAAAGATCGTTAACTTTTTAATTTTGAAGATGAGAAAAATATGACTTCCCATTCTTGACCTGCTGCCTATGTAATATAATTCTAGATCTGAGTACTTAGTGTGTACTATGCTGGAGCACATCTCATTTTGCTGTGTGCTATATGGTTATCTTCATTTTTTCTCTGGTATTTTAAGCCTAGATAGGGAGGGGAACATCATGAAGGAAAAAAAGATCACTTGTGGAAATTGTGGCATTTGGCTTTGGGAAGATATAGAGCCTCCAGAGTAGACCTGAAGTAGGCAGAAATCAAATAGTTGGTACTGTTGTGTCCTGTCTGCTGTAGTTCAGTCAGGGACAGATTGAGAGAGGAAAGTTAAAGGCAAGTTAAAAGTTGACTCCACCTCCCAGAAGACCTCCCACAAAAGAAAGGATGATAACCAGCCCAGCGCTCTGATAACAGATAGGTTGGGAGGGCAAGAGCTGTATACTTTCTTAACAGAGTATGAGAACTGTGATGACGTGGAGCTTGCTGAGGAGGTAGTGAGAAGGCTAAAATTTGAAACCTTGGCAAATGGTCCACAAATGAGACCATTGCTGTCTGACTCTAGAGGGAGGGAGCTTGTTAAAAATAGATATTCTCAATTTTACCTTTAAATCTTTTTAATGAAAGATTACACAAAATTAGAAAGCGTAGTACAGTGGTACTAATGATCCAGTCCTATCTCAACCTCCCAGAGTGCTGGGATTACACGTATGTCCACACTCAGCTTGTTGAAAATTTTAACATTTTAGGAACTACAAACACATCATATAGGAAAGTAGCAACAATCCTGTGGTTTCATCTGCTATCCAGTCCTTAGGTGTGTTTTGCTGAGTGTCTCAAAAATGCCATTGTTCAGTTGGATTGTTAGAATTAGGATGAAATACAAGTTACATCCTGTTCAGGTGAATTTGATGTCTCCCAATTTGGGAACAAATTATTTTGCCAACTTCAGGATGCCACCATTCCTGGAACAGTTGCTAAATTACAAATGTCATTTGGAGTTAGAGTAACTAATTTGATTTATTGACTGGATATGGACTTATAATAGTAGATTCTGTCAGACTTAGTTTCCTCAGTGAAGGAGGCTTAGGATGTGTTGTGGTTGATGGGACGGTGAGGAGTCTGGTTGTAGTGGAATCAGCTGGCCCGTGCCTGGGTCTCACTCCGGTCGTGGCTCGTGGCTTATAGACTGTACCACAGTTGCTTGTGGATTCATCAGAAACTTCTTCAGTTGGTCCCTTCAGATCCGACGTAAGCAAGCATTTTACCATAACCGTCTGCTTTTTTAAGTGAAATTAATGGTTATCTCAGAGTGCTGATAGCAGTTTGAAAATGAATTTTCTGAATTTTCAGAATAATTTTTTCCTTCAGAATTCTTAAAATGCAGTGCTCAGTTAATGAGGTTAAATTATAGACAACTTAGAGAACATACATTTTTTGTATAAGTTTTTCATAATGTATCTATGCAGTTTGTATAAATTATGTATTTTTTGAGTCTCTGTGTTAAAACAATTCAGACCTCAGAATTATCTCTGGGCTACAGTATTACCAAAGCGGAAAGACTTTAAAATGTAGTCATATTTTGTATTTGTAGTCATCTTTAATGAACTTGAAAAACCTATAGAAAGTATATTTTGTGATTCATAGTTTAAGAACACACACTTTATTGTTGTTGTTGTTTGGTCCTTATTGAAGAGTAATTCTACTGTATAAGGAAGTCATGCTGTCTTTGGACTCTTCAGAGCCTGAAGTAACATCAGTGCTTACATGTTGGTCTCTCATCCTGCCTCACTCAGGTGGTATTGATGGCGTGAGACCAGATTGTGAGCTAGATCTGGCTGGGCACCTCAGGCCCATTGTTTAATCATCTCTGTGCCTTAGGTTTTAAGTACAATCAGTCTTCATTTCAAACCTCGAAGGAAGATGAGACTCAGAGTGATTTTAGATTTGAAGGTGTCGTGCATGGCTTATGAAGCTACTACCAGTGTTACTGGTGGTCTGTCTCCATAGGCTGAATGTTCTCTGGCATGTATCTGCAGTGTGAATTTGCTTATATTGTGAAAGAAAGAATTAAGGAAGAGAAAGTAGAGAAGAAAAGAATGATGTGAATGAATAATCAGGAAGGGAAAGAAAGGAAGTGAGAAAGAAGAAAGAGAATTAAGGTGAAGATACAAAAGACAGAGTAAGAGAGGAGATGGACCGAAAGTGGAAGTGACAAGTGGAGACGGACAGGAAGGTTGTGGAAACACTTTCTTTTGGAGTTACAGCTAGATCGCTGTCCACTGTCCCTAGTCCTTCAGGTCAGGACAGGTGCTGGCTTCTGTGGGAAGAGGGCGGCAGGGACAGCTGTGTTTGGTTTCTTGGTCAGGTAAGTTTTTTTTTTGAAGACTAACAATCCAAGCTAAGGATTTAGCTCAGCAGTTCCAGCACTTGCCTGCTAAGTGCAAGGTTGTGAATTCAATCCTCAGTACCAAAAAAAACAGCAATTCAATATTTTGTCTTTTTACTAGATTTCGATTTGTGAGCTAGGAACTGTGGAAACAAATGCCTTCCATTTCAGTTGGACTTATTTGAGAGTAGCCATGTATTCGTCAGGGAGGGCAGGAAGAAACGAAAGGTGGGAGTGAGGGGCTGCCAGGAATCTCTTGCAGCAGTTTCCCCACGTGAGGGTCATAGGTAGGAAATGAGGCCGAGAATCACTGCTCTGCCTTGAGGGTAGGGTAAGCCTTAGAGCACATCTATTCTTCAGGAGGGTGCTTTCATTTAACTGTTACAAATGGATTCAAGAGAACAGGAACATTAGAGACACATAAAAAACGAAGACCTTAAAAGATAGTCATTCTCTTTTTCAGGTAGTACTTTGTGATGCTGTAGTTGCAATCAGAATCTCTTTGTTTTAAAATAATTTTGGTTCCTTAGAGTAAATAGAAAAGAAACATCCGATTGCAGTATGTCAGGTGTGGGGCCAGTTACCAGTTTATTAAATGCAATTTCAAATATCTTTAATAATTGCCCTCTTACTTTTAGTATTTGATGAAATATTTTTACTGTTAATAGTATACTTCATACATTGCCAAAGTAACCCCCTTTTTGCCTGTTAAAATCAGGCTAAACTGTTTTGATGTTTGTTGTTTCTTAACTCATTGAACACAAAACTAAATTTCAAAATGTAAGATACATAAACTTAATATAAAAATCTAAAAAGGTATAAAGAAAACTAACAATGACCATGATGTTATCCAGATATCTAGCAATTGCAGCATGGCATACTACTGAAAAAGTTTAAATTGGTTGCAAATCAGTATTAGACTTACTTTGGAAAGTTTGAGTTGTCATTTTGTCTCAAATAATTTCAAATGCCTAATGGGATTATTTCCTTAGAATATTCAAATGAAAGAGAGCTTTTGCCAATAATTTTTCTCACCACTAATGTGCGTGGTGTTTGGAGGATCTCTGGTCAGCCATTTTAATACCAAATTTGAGACTGGTGTGAAGCCTTTGATTATGTTTATATAGGCCAATTGGAATATGTGGACATGTTCATATGTGGGGTATGATTGTGGCCTCTTTTAAAAATGGGTGAATAGAATGCAACAGCATATATTCCATTTGAAAAATAAATGACTGTCTATGGTGGACAATACCTGTTTTCAACCTTTGTGTAAAATCTCTTCCGGGAATATTGGAATGTTACCTTTTTGTGCAAAAATGACCCATGGTTAGTAGTATTGTTTAGAATATGTCATCCATTGCAAATGTAGCAAGCATGATTATTTCACATGTATTGTCATCGGTATTTGAGAGCTGGACCTGTGCTTTCTGATGGATGCTGTAACACAAGACCTGTGAAAAACATGGTGAAAATCAGAAACTGCGCCTGTTCCTGAAAAGGTAGCAGGTGTTTCACTTTTCAGAGTATTTTGCATAAATTACTAATATTTTAAGTAGCAATAGTTTTGAAAGCTGGAGGAATGTATTATGATATACTGTGATATTTAGAAATGATTGTCCTTAAACTACTTTTATTTTAAAATATTTTGGCTTTAGAATAATGTGAGTATCTTTCTCCAAATATTTTGTGTATTTTGAAAGTTTACTAAAAAGAGCATAAAATGATAGATTTGAGTCTAATTTGGGAGTAATGGGAAATTGTTTTCTATTTTGGAGGAATTCAGCTCATTTTTTATTGAGAAACTATGTTGTTACTAAATAAACATGTACTCAATAAATGTTTAGTTTTCTCAAATAATGTATGTGAATTATTTTTGCAGTCACAATTTTCAGGGACTCAATCCCCAGCAGCAACAAAACAAAGAACAGTTTTAATAGTTTTTAAGTTGGAATGGTTGATAATAAGGTGGAGTCCAAGCAGAAACTGTTTCTTGGATTACCTAATTCAGTGGCTGAATAACATTGTCAAGAACCTCCATATCAGCCAGGTGTTATACATATTTATAATCCCCAGTACTTGGGAGACTGAGACAGGCGAATGCTTTGAATTGGAAGCCAGTGTGGGCTATATAGTGAGTTCACAGCGAGCCTGGGCCACATAGTGAGATATCATCTAAAAAAAAAAAAGGAAAAAACCTTTCATTCTGCCTGTTTGTCCATTACTATTCTCGCTATGTGACATTTCCTCTCATGGCTCCAATGTGATAGCATACATCCTGGTGGAAAATAGCCTAAATTTAAATATATACATATTTATATATATTTCAATTTAAATATGTATATAAATATGTATTTAAATATATATTTATATATTATATATATTTAACTATATATGTTTAAATAAGTTGTCTTGGGTACTTTTTTCTCTTTGCTGAGACTAAACAACTGGTGCCCAAAACTAAGAAATGAAAAATTTATTTAGCTGACATTTTGTAAAGGTTTCAGTCCATCTTTGTCAGCTGTGAGCTAAATAAACTGAGGCAGAGTAGCATGGCACAGGGGCAACTGTTCATGGTAGCAAAAGACAAAAGCAACAAGAGCAAAAAGTGGGGAGCCAAACCAGTTTTCCTGCCTTCTGTTGTAAGCAGGTTACCCACCGTAGGATGGGTATAGCACTCACACCATCTCTGTGCCTTCCTCTTTCACAGGCTGAGAATATTTACAAAGTGAGGACTCTGGCTACTGCTGAGTTGCTTAAACTTCTAAGCTTCTTAAGTTGGCACAATGAATCAATCATTATAACGTTCTAGGGTATAAACAACTGCCTTAGGGTATGTCCCCTACACCCTAAGATGTGGAACTGCTGAGTCAGTTAAGCATGTAAACTTCTCAAATTGACACCATATATCAGTCATTACAATTTACCCCTTGTCAACTTTGCAGCCAGGCACATTTCTTTAAACTAGTTTTTAGATACAGATGTTATTATTTCACAACTTGAACATTACTACACAGGTTTAGCAATTCTTAATCAGTGCTGTCTATCAATATTAGAACCATAACATTCCACCCCTGCCCTCCCAAAAGACTCATGCACATCCCTTTATGCAAAAGACATGTAGTCTATCTCTAAAGGTTGCCAAAGTCCTAACACTTTCAGCAGTGCTGAAAAGTCCAAGTCTCAAGTCTCCAAGATGAAAGGCAAACACTTAGCTGCAAGCTCCTGTAATAAATGAAAGTTAAACACTTCCAAGATTCAGTGGCACAAAGTATTTCATTCCAAAAGTTACAAGCAGGAATACAAAGAGATTGGAATCAAGGCAAATCCAAACTCCAGCAAGTCAAACATTAAGCCCTGTAGTTCCATGTTAAGCATCTGAAGCAATCTGGTAAGTTGTGAGCTCCAAAGGACTTGTGTGGCTCTGTTTTTATGGCATGTCCCGTGGTTGTAGCTCCCATGGCTTCTCTCTTGGGCCTTTTCTGCTCCCTCCTTACAAGTTCCCTCAGGTGATCTGTGTTCCTGGATTCTCCAAACTTCTGGGTTCTCCAGTGCACCTTTGGCTTCACACAGCTTCACACACTACCCTTTCAGAAGCACACTGCCTGCCCTCCCAGGCTTTTGAAATCTGAGTGGAAGCCTTTTTAACCCTATAACTCTTGCATTCTGCATGCACCTAAAACCAGTGCCACCTAGATACCAAGATCTGCCAGCTGGAGCAGTAGCCAGGCTTTCTTCTCTCTTGGCAGTAGGGACTGAGTGCCTGAACCGTTCAGCACTCTTGAGTCCAATTCTGAGGAAGAAATTCTCTATAATGCTCCCATTCTGAAACCTGATGCAGCCACTACTGCCATTTTGGAATCTGGTGCTCTGGGGCTTCTCAAAGCAACATCTTTTACTGTTTGCAATTTTGAGGCTGGCAAATTCTGCTTTTCTGTGATGCCTTCTATTTTCTGGTTCCTTATCAACAATCAACATATCCTGTGCTCCATCTTTGCAGTCTATAGCTTTATTGTAGCTTCCCTTCTGGCCAAACTTGCAGCATTTTAAATCATGTTGGAGTGTTTGCTCTTGATTCTCAACATAAATCTGGCTAAAAGTCCCCAACAGTAGTTCTGCCACCACCTCAACATTTGACTGGCTTGAAATTTCTTCTGCCAATTAGTCTGCTACACTTAGTCTCAGCAGAGTCTCTTGATATGAGCAAAATGCACACAAACTTTTTGCCAAGCCTAACATACATCATGTGGCATCAAACAGTCAATGCAGTCCTTTATCCTAGGAGAAACCTGAGCCTGTTCTTCACTGGCAGGATTTCTATCAATCTTCTGATTTGAGCTCTGACCTAATCTTCCATGCAGAACAGCCTGAGGTGTTCCAGCTCTGTTCTTCCAGGCTATATCTCCAAACCTTCCCGAGTCCTTCCCATGAGCCATTCCTAAAGGCTACTGAACTGCATGGTTAGGTATAGCCAGAGCAACAACCCCATTCCTGATACCAAATTCTGTCTTGGTTTCTTTTCTTATTACTGCCATAAAATACCTGATACCCAAAATTAAAAGAGGAAAGGTTTATTTAGCTCATAGTTTGTGAGGTTTTCAGTCCATAATCTGCTGACTCTGAGGCAGGCTGGCACATGGCAGGGGGGTTACAGTTCATGGCAGTGGAAGATACCAGAAGCAAGAAGAGCAAAATGGGCAAGCAAGCCTCTTTCCCACCCTTATTTTGTATGCAGGCTAAGTGCCTTCAGGTGGGTGTAGCACTCATATGCCAGTCCCAGCACTAGACAATGAACCAATCACAAACTGTAGATTCAGCCACACCCAGAAAGCAAAACCTCATCATGATAACATGAGGCTTTGGGGGGACATCCAGACACAAACCATAGCTTTCTGCCCTTGACTCCACCAAACCTTTTTTTGGAGGTGACTGAATCTGGAATGTTTCATTGATTTATAGAGCAATGCTGGGATTAAGGGTGGGTGATGGCTGGATTAGTCCACTGATTGGATTGGCACCACTTTAATCCCAGTAGTGTATACAATATAAAGGATAGAAAGAGCCTTGGCTTTTGCTATTTTCTGTCATCATAAGCCATTGCCCCTCTGCCATGTTGCACCCTGCCTTGGAGCCAGCTGAGTACATACTGAAACCTCTATAAACTATGAAGTAACTAGCCCTCCTTTGTTTGAAAACCAAACATAGGGGGCTGGGAATTTAGAGCAGTGGCATAAGTGCCTCCTTGCAAGCATGTGGTTGTGAGTTTGATCCCTGGTACTGGTAAAAAAAGAAAAAAACAAATATATATAGGCTGTCCAGTGACTCTTTGTCTTTACTCCTGAGAGAGAATTCTGATTTTCCTAGATGCCTCAAAATCATACTACTGGTCTCTTTAAAGCATCTGTGTCCACTCATGGGGGAGATTGGGGCTAGGCCAAAACCCCAATAGCCAAATGTTGAAGTGGTGGCATGGCTACTGTTGGAGGTTTTTAGCCAGATTTTATGTTGAGAATCAAGAGCAAAGAGCCCAGCAGAATGATTTAAAACATGAGTTTGATCAGAAAAGAAACTCCAGTAGAGCTGTGGATTGCAAAGATAGAGCAGAGGAGATGTTGGTTGCTGAGGAAGAACAGAATACAAAAGATGACCTGAGGGCATCACAAGAAGCAACAGGACGCCACTCTTTGCAGCCTCAAAATTGCAAAAGTGAAAGATGTTGTTTTGAGAAGAAAGTTCCAGCATGGCAACAGCCTAGAGAATATTCCTTGGAATTGGATTTAGAGTACTCAGTGATACAGGCACTTGACCCCTACAGCCAGGAGAGAAGAAAGCCTGTCTTTTCCTGTTGGCAGCAGACCTTGGCATCATCAATGTTGCAGTGGTTTTACGTACATGAAGAATGGGAGAATTGTAGGCAAGAAAGGCTTCTACCTGAAGGGTAGTGTGTAAAGCTGTGAGTGTAAAACCAAAGGTGCAGTGGAGATGGTAGAGGTTTGAGGAAGCCAGGAATGTAGATTGTCTGAGGACACCTGCAAGGACAGAGTAGAACAGGCCCAAAAGAGGAGTCATGGGAGCTACAACCAGCAGCAGTGTTAAGAGAGTAGGCCAACCCAGCCTTTTGGAGTTCACATCTTGCCACAGATTGCTTCAGGTTCTCCACATGGAACTATAGGACTTTAATGTTTAGATTTTGAGCTTCTTAGGTCCCATTCCTTTGTATCCCCATTTGTAACTTTTGGAATGGGAGTGTTTTTCTTGTGCCATTGAATGTTGGAAATGTTTAACTTTCTTTTTATTTGTACAGGGGTTCACACTAAGCGTCTGCCTTAAATCTCAGAGAAGACTTTGTACTTGGACTTTTCAGCAATGCTAAAACTGTTAGGAACTGGACAACTCTTAGTGACAGACTAAATGCCTTTTGCATAAAGAGACATGCATGAGTCTTTGATGGACCAGGGGCAGAATGTTACGGTTTGTATCTGGATGTTCCCCCAAAGCTTCATACAGTTTATGAAGCATGGCTTTTTAGAGGTAGCTGAATGTCGTTTTTGATTGAGTCATGGTCCAATGTTGGGATTATGGGTATGGATGCTATACTGCCCTATGGTGAGTTTCCTTCACACAGTATAAGAGACAGAAAGGGGACTTGTCTGTTTTTTGTCTCTGTCTCTCTTGATCTGTCTCTCTCCCTTGTTGCTTTCTATAGTCTGACTGTCATGAACTCTTCTCGTCTGCCAAGCCACCCTGTCTTGGAGCCAGATGATTATGGACTGGAACCTCTACCAATTGTGAGCTAAGTAAACTTTTCTTCCCTTAACTTTGGTCGTTGTGTATTTTGTCTCATCAATGAGAAAAGTAAC